CCAAAGATTACTGTCAACATGTTTACAAGTCGATTGATTGGGTAAAATGTTAGAAGGCTAAATTTTTTGAAGTACTTTTTTGTGCAGATGTTTTCAGCTAAAAATCTAGAAAAAAATTTTTTTTCCTTTAAAGTTGTTCTGATCGAAATCTTTTCTTTACCACTTTCAGATTAGTCCCCTCTCCACCTTCGTCCTATTTTCATCGCCCTTGTCACAGTATGATGGATGATATGATCAGAAAAGATTAATTGGTAAATTACTTGCAATTTGTGTTTCTATCATGCTTTTTAAAACTGCTATGAATAATAATTTTTGTTCATAGTTCTTCCAGTTCTTGATTTTCCATTTAAATTTTCCAGCTATACGGTTTACCCATTCTTACTAGCAAGTTGGTTTTGTGTACTTGTTTACCCATGTCTGATCAATGGATCTTGCACAACTATGATATTATACATAAGTTTGCTTAATATCAATCTAATTAAAACAATATTTTGAGTTCGATCAAAACATCAAATGTGAACGCCCACTAAGGTATTAATGTCTTAGCAAAAGTAGAATCTGCTCAGAAATTTTGAAATATTTGCCAACATCGCAAATCTAGGGCGGGTTTGAAGCTCCTGCAAAACTATAAACTAACCAACTGATAGATTTGAGAAGTGTTAATTATAGCACTTGATCGACGTTTTGAATGAACTCTTGTTCAAAAAGCCTTGAAAATAGTCGAATGAGGTAATTTTAAAATTGTCCAGAGATCAAAACGACTATCGACATCCAAGAAATTTCGCGCCTATATCGATAATTGTCGTTAAGGGATGGCCACCCATTTGTATGACTGTAGTGCAGATTTTCTTTTTTCTTGATTTTCTTCTTTTTTTCTGTTAGAAAACAGAACCTAATTACTTATTAACTATTTGGTTGTTTATCAGAGATACTCGTCTTACTAATACTTTGCCTGGATAGGGAAGTCTTGCAAGCTTTGCATACGTAACCCATGTTTATTGCAAAATTCAAAGTGTTCAAACATAGTGTCCAAATTTTCAAAAGGTGTATTGTTTACAATTCCCAAAGTTAGGACTATCATCTTGATTTATTTTGTACTGAGAAGATTGTTGGCATCAAATTTTCTTCATTTTCACAATATTGCCAAAAACGTCTTTTTCTAATCTCCATCATAATATCTGAAAGGAGTTACAGGAAAAATTGGAAAAATGCGAATAATGGAACTTGGATATATTACTGGAACTAACGTCTTTGTTATTCTGCAGTTTTAACTTCTCACATGTCACTAACAAAAGTAACTATTGTTTGAAAAGAAAAAAAAACGGAAGTACTTAATGCTTTGCGAGAGCATGAATCTAGAACCCAATATTTTTTCTGCATATTTTGATTTTTTGTGATCAAATCAGTGGTCATCCTCACAAAACTGAGAAATCCCTGTAGCATTACAAAATTAGAGGTTATTTCATGATGAAAGAATGTTTGGAGTCCATGGAAAATTAATGGAGCGTCATTTAAAGAGTT